CTGGTCCTCGGACCTTCCTTTGTTCTATTTTCACAGGTTTTCCCCTTCCTTGTCTTTTAGCCACTGCCATTCTGGACTCCTGTTTCCTATTCTAACTACCTAACCATCTTACTCAAAAAAAGGGCTTATAAGGACAATTGCTGGAGCATTACAGATAGAGGGGAGTGATTTTTGTGGACATACCAATGTTTTCTCTGATATGAGAAATGAGATTATGTGAGATCAGCAGAAACTACAATATGGAAAATCCTTAGTCAAATATGGCAACTCATTAACATGTGAATCCCAGGCAAAGCTTGTGTTATAATTGGAGTTCAAGTTGCAAAATATGCTTTGGCTGCAGAACTCCATCGTCAAGTTTTCCAAGTTAATTACCTCTACGGATGCAAGAGCACAGACAGGAAGAGCCAAGGGGAACGAAGCTGGGAATTTATAGGGATTACGGGCAAAGCATGATTACACAGAGATTGGAAAATTGAACATTTGGTTTACATTTACCTAACTGTCCACGGACTGGATTATACCTGCTTTGTGTGTACTACGGTATATGTGGGTGTGGGTCTCTGAATGCATTTAATTGTCTGTTTGTTTAGAAAATGGACCTTAACGGAACAGAAAAATCAATTGAGTTTACAAAGAGATTGGCATCATTGTTTGTTGAGAGGAATCACAGTTCCAGTTCCAAACCAGAGACTCACTTAGAGGAATGGAGTAAACCCGCAATTTATTCACTCAACTGGTGAATGCACATGATCCCAGGTTGTATTTCTTAAATATACTTTTAAAGTTGACTTCCCCAGTCAGGGAGGACAATAATGACTAGAGTGAAGTCTGAGAGGATTGACCTCACTATTAAAGACTCATATCAAATATTAAGATTAGTGATAACAAGAATTCTCAGCCATTGAAATTGGAGATGTGGCTGGAAGAAATGTCACAAAAGGAAACACGGGAGAACAAGTTAGAAATTTAAAATAATCAGCATTTCAATTCAACTTAGTGATTGCGTATTGAGCACTTACAGCTTGTAAACCTTGGAAGAAGGGAACATATAATAATGTGTGAGCATCCATTCTTTTCTAGAAGTTTACAGTTGAGTGTGTGTGCTTACTTGCTCACTTGTGTCTGATTCCTTGTGATCTCATGAACTGTAGCCCGCCAGGCTCCTCTGTCTATGGGATTCTCCACTCAAGAATACTGGAGTGGGTTGTTGGTCCCTTCTCCAGAGGATCTTCCCAATCCAGGGATCAAACCCAGGTCTCCTGCCATCTCCTCAGATTCTTTACCATCTAAGCCACCAGTGAAGCCCTATTACAGTTGTAGGGGAGGGAAAAATTTTTTTTTCCCTCTACCCTTCCAGGTTTTCATTGAGATCCCCATCCCCACCCTCTGCACCACAGTAGCTGATTAACAAACAGAAGTTTAATACCAGGCACACTTCCTGTATGCATGGGAGATACCCAGGAAAACTGAGCTGCTCCCCAAAATGGTCCAAGCCACCACAATAAATATCATCCTCAGCTGAAAGCAAAAGAGATGTTGGGAAGGGGCTTGGGGAAGGCCTGTTAATGGGAGATTATCAGGGAAAGCACAGTAAACCAGGGTATAATTGTTATGCAATTGGTGCCTTCTCCACTGGGGAGGGTTTTCAGAGGTTCAGTCATCCTTCCCTTCCAGGCATCCTTTGGAGAGGAAGTTAACCTTACAAATGGAGATTGATTCTCCTTATTAAAGTAAAGGTCCCTTAAAAACGGGGTAATGTCTCCTCAGTTTTCAGAGCTTCCCTTGTCTCAGCTGTGTCTTAAAAATAACCAGCTCAAGATAATCAACACAGCAAAGAAGCATATTTTGGGAGTGTAATTTCTGCTTCCCTTCACAGTTGACCACAAACAGCTAGCAGAAACTGGAAGGAGTAGAAACAGATGAGATTTTCAGGATTCAAACTTGGAAAAGTTTACTTTGATAAGGCCATAAAATACAGCTTTTTTAAAATGAAAGATAATGGCAGAAAGTGAGAGACAAAGAGGTCATAGAGAAGAAGGGAGGAAGATTCCAGATGGTAGAAATACTACAGGGCAAATTTTAGGTACTAAAGTATAAAAAGGTCTGAGGGTCCACGAAGCTCTTTGTAAATGGGTTACTGGACCTCCAAAGGTAGAGGAAGAAATCACCGGAAACTGAAGAAACACTGTTTATTAAACAGTTCCTGAGCTTTCCCGTCTCCAAATTAAATATGTTTATAGACCAATCTTTGCAGTTGCCAATCCTTCAGGCATTTCTGTTGATTTTTAAAAATCAATAATCAACTAATACAGGTCTGAATTAAGCCACAGGAGAAACTCAGAAATCTACCTACAGTAGAGATGTTATTATCTGTGCTTAGTCGCTCAGTCGTTTCTGACTCTTTGAGACCCCATGGACTATAATCCACCAGGCTCCTCTGCCCATAGAATTTTCCAGGCAAGAATACTGGAGTGGGTTGCCATTTCTTATTCCAAGGGATCTTCCCAACCCAGGGATTGAACCCTCGTCTCTTGCATTGGCAGGCAGATTCTTTTACCACTAGTGCCACCTGGAAAGCCCCTTAAACCTATTTAGATAAACCTATGGAAATGGCATTCCACTTCAGTATTCTTGCCTGGAGAATCCCATGGACAGAGGAGCCTGGGGGGCTACAGTCCATTGGGTAGCAAAGAGTTGGACATGACTGAAGTGACTTAGCATTCAAGTATGCATGCATTCAAATAAATAGATAAAACCTGTTTTCAAGATCAGATGTTTATCTATATCATAATTTTACTATAAAAGTCACACACCTTCTTTTCCCTACAAAGAAAAATATTGTATATATAATCTATCTGATTTTGAATCATTTGACATTTGTTTACACATTTCCTTCAATTCTTCCAGATTTATTGTATTTAAAATAATTTCTACACTGACAGCTAATATTAAAGTGGTACATTTAAAACAAATTGAATTCCCATTATCCATTCTCCCCCTTTTTCATCTAACTAATTAGGGATAAATTTTGCCAACATTTCCCTGAGCCTCATGTATTAAAGAAATCAGTTGAGATAAATAGGAATCACACTTAACTTTTTACAATCTGGCTGCTATCACACATTTGAAAAGATTAGGTTTTATATTTGTAAGTCAGAAGCTCATAAAATGACTAATTTAAATGTGATGCAAAGAATATACAACTTCTTGATATATTTATTGAAGTGCCCTTAAAGTATTCTGTCACAAAGATGTTCTAACAGTAAGAAGAAAGTAAGCATAATGCTCAGAATTCTAATATGATCAGTTAAGTGAAAAGAAAATTTTCAGGCCTATATTGCGCCCCCTAGTGGCGGGAAAGCCAAAATTTAAAGTACATATTTCACATTTCTTTGCTAATTAATTACACTGTATACACAAAACCTTCCTAAAGTGAGTCATGTTCAATGCTGTGTGGCATGTAGGCCTATAAAACAAACAAAAAGTAGTAAAAAATATCAGCCATTGTTAAATTCCTAAACATTAAATTACATGAATGACTGTTTTAAATTATTTAAAGATGGAAATTAGTCCCTCTTCTTACGTGTAGGGTAAAATAGAGTAGCCAACCCCATAGACATATACTATAGGGAATAAATCAAGTCTCTGTATTAATCAAGACGTCTTTTCTCGATTGTTACTATCTGATAGGTTTCAGAAGTGAGCAAGTCTCAGACCCTTTAACCTCAAATATTCACATTTCTAACAGCGCCATCTTTTCAGATCATGTCATATATCCTGAAATACTTAATGAAAGAAGAAAACTTCACTCCAAAAAACATTTTGAGCAGTTTTCTACTGAGAACCCCGAGAGGGAATGAGTGTCATTGTAACTCATGTGAAGACGCTGTCTTAGAAACAAGATCAGTGTACAGTGGTTATTTAGAATTGTCTCCTTTCCAGAAGCACAGTCTCATTTTTGTGACTGTCACGGGGGAAGAGATCTGATACAATGGTGAGAGCCAGTGAGAAGGGGGTTGCAGACTACACGGGATGTGGCAGCAAGAATGAACGTAAAAGGCGCAGAGCAGTGCAGACAGAAAAGGAGGAAAGTATCAGAAAACAGGAGTCAGTGATGCAGCAATACATATTTCTGCCTTCTAACACATAAATGATTTATAGTTGATTTTGTAAACATGAAACTATTTTTCTGAAACATTCAACCATAAGCCAGCACATGTAATTCAATCATCCTTCCAGTTACTTATATAGATTTTACAATTTGTTAGGAAATAATACTCTTAGAGCTACTAGTCTCCCTTAAAATTGGTTTTCTCTCCTTTCTCTCAATTCTCTTGCTTAACATAGTATTATAACTGCTTCTCTGCTTATCTTCAACCTCCTTTCTTCTTCCAGCATATTTGCAACAGTATACAGAAGAACTATATTAGTCCTGAAACCACAAAACATTTGTTCAAAAGAATCCTAACTCTAACAACTTCCAAACCTAAGGAATTACTGACTTTAGGCATTCATCCTGGAGATTTTGCTCACATTAGAAATAACAGATCTTATGCTTCACAAAATCAGAAGGACAACTTCTTAGAGTCAGAGAATAAGAGGAAATGGGGGAAATAATAGTACTGGAAGTTCTTTTCCAGTATGCTCTATATGGAATTGGTTTTGAATGACTCCTTCTGTGCGTCATTAATCTGGAGCAGCAGTGGCAATTAGGGAAGATGTCACTGATCCTGGAGGTTCAGAAGTGGGGGTGAGGTGTGAGGGGACAAAGGAAAAGGGGAGGAGGAAGTGGGGTGGGTTGGAGATGAAGGGTACATCCTGAAGAGATAATCTCTCTATACTCATGACATCATCTCCTGCATATATATATAGGGAATGGTCACAGCATCTCTCATAGTTCAGTACTTCCAAAGTCAGCTGAAGGCAGGAGGAAGTGCTAGAGAGCCCCCTCCAGCCTGTCCTGACGTTTATGAACTTGGCTTGCTAGAAGGCTCAAGATGATGGCAGGAATGAAAATCCAGCTGGTGTGCATGATACTGCTGGCTTTCAGCTCCTGGAGTCTGTGCTCAGGTAAGCTCAGCTGCATTTCACAACTCCCTGAAATGATTTCTTTTTCCGTTTTTGCAGTGTATTGTTACTAATGCTAATGTATCTGGGGAGAAGAGTTTCTCCCTTATTCTGATTTGCTTTTTAGTGGTAGAAACTGGTATTTTCTTTCTCTGTCTTTATGATCGCAAGAACTGAAAATTTTCCTTTCCCTTTTAAAATTTGCTAGGTAGTAAAAGGGATTTCAATGAGACACTTCATGCTCCTGTGTGCAATGTAATCACTGGGGGAAAAAAATATGTAAAACTTAAATCAAGCTGATCTAGTGAAATACCGAAGTGGTGCCTGTCAAAATGCAAACTCATAATTCAAACTGATTCTATATGAAATGTTTTATCTCATCTTCATTCATTCTCTTAAGACATGGTGGCTTCTCCCTCTCAAAAATTATTTTCTTCATAGTGTGTGGATTAAGTTAAAATGAATATTGATGTTTAATGAATCAACTGAATAAAGCATTATTTGTAGAAAATGATCTCTAGGAAAACACAAAAAAATGCCAAGCTCTTTTAAGAATATATTTTAAGTAACTTTTTTCTGTGACAAGTAGACATATTACAAATTTCACTATTTTCTTGCATGTCATTTAAGTTAATACATAATGTAACTAGAATAATATCATTCTTATATTGATAAAAATTATTTCCCTATAGAGTATTTTGCATGTGATAATTAAGAAGAAATCATACATTGCTAAATATCTATCAATAGCTTACCTTGAAAATAAATTTCAAATTTTAGAGAGCAATATGAAATATAATGCTTGCAATGTGCTCCAACTAATGTTTGAAAAATAATTGAATGATCACATCAAGGTGAAAAAAAAAATAAGGGATAAGGGTAGCAAAAATCATTTAACCTGTTTTATACTGTAATGTCATAAATATGACACTGAAATGTTAAATTCAAATTCCTGCTCTGATTTTTCATTATAGTGTCCTGTAACTTTATTTCTATTATCTTATGTATTTTCCAAATTTTTCTTCTCTGTGAAATATTCCTTAGTGGAAACTGAAAGGATGTTCTAAAAAATATCAGAAGTCCATTTTCAACACTCTTGTACATGTATTGGTGGACATCTCTACTTTTGCTTAAATAATTTTTTAATAACCTGTGATAAAATTGCCAAGTATACATAATTCTAAATCCTTGTAGTTTAATATAGAGAAAAGTAGAGTTTAAGCAGTTTAATATAGAGAAACAAATCTTTCAAAGTGTGTTTTGTAAAATAGCATCTCAAATAAAACAAATCTCAGTGTCTTTCTTATTCCAAAATTATCAATAAGTAACTTCCTTTGGTTTTGTCTTTTAAAAAATGTCTTGTACTTACCTTTTCATTATGTTGCTTTGAAAATAACAATATGTATATACTCTACCTATGTAAACTATTGCCAATAAAAATTAACCAGCATATTTGATGACATCTTTGTAGTATAATCACATTTTATTATCCTGAGATTTAGAGATTAAACAACTCCAAATCATTGAGAGCTCTCTTGGCATAAAATCATGTGCCTATTTTCTTAAAAGTGCTTCTATTGTTCTATTCTGTTAGCCTAAAATAAAACTGTATTGCTTTTTTAAAAAATATTAATATAAGGAGAATAAATACATAGTAAAGACAATAAACTCTTAAAACAAAGTTTTTTGAGATTAATCTTACATATCCAAGTTATAATTATATGATATGTGGTTATATAGTAAACATGTGGTTTTGATTTTACTCAGATTCAGAAGAGGAAATGAAAGCGTTAGAAACAGATTTATTGACCAATATGCATACATCAAAGGTAACTTTTTCTTTCTTTCTAAACCAAAGACTGAAAAACATATGAACTCTTGTTATAAACATGGTGTCCTTTTCCTATAGTAATAGCTTCCCATTGAGACTGAAAATCTCATTGGGAGGCATTTCCTTCTGGGGGAAACTTTTCCTTAAGTTCAAAGGGCTTAAAGGTATCGATGTGACGGGGACAGAAGTTTAGTGATATCAATCACTACATTGCAAATTTAATTAAGTAGTCACATATTATTTAATGTGGAAATCCTTTCTCCATTTCAATCACATTGTATATGATGAAAGATACACTGACTTCAAGTTAAACACATAAATGAAAATTAAGTGACATTTTTGCCTTTTGTTTTGATATTGGGGAGAGTGAAATGGAGTTCCTAAATTAAGAATGAAAGCTCGTGAAATCTGTAAAAGAGATGTGACAGGAAGTAAAGAGCAAAGATAAGCAAACAGCAACCTGGAGATCTAAGCCTACAAGTGTGACTTATGAACAATTTGATCTTAAGCAAGGGGGTTAGTTAACAGTGCTTGCCTTTGTGTCCTCATTTTTAAATGTTGGGGTGGGAGTTTATGATCTCCTGGTTGTTGTTGATTAGTTGCTAAGTCATGTTTCATTCTTTTGCAACCCATAGGCTGTAGCCTGCTAGCCTCTTCTGTCCATGAGGTTTCCCAGGCAAGAATACTGGCGTGGGACATTTACATGAAGTCCTCCTCTGGATTTAAATTCTCCCCATAACAGAAATGTTATTGGAACCTGCTTATTGTTTGTATTGAATCATATAAAACTTTTTACTGGATCTTATTATTCCTCTCTTGGGGTCTTGAAAGCAAGGTTTTTAGACTCCAGCCTATACCTAAGAATAAAACTCAATTAGAATGTACCCAGGTACCATGCTACTATACAATTTTGATTTACCCAGAATGAAATAATCAGAATATATCTAAGAGTAGGGTTAGAGAACAGGGTTCCCAACCAAAGGATGTTTCTCAACAAAACAAAACAAAACAAAAAATCAAAAACATATTTTGAAGTGAGGCAGTCACCCTGTGTAATCACTGTGGTAACACGGGTCCCCAAGTTGAGGACTCCAGATTCCACAGATGCTGTGATAAGAAAGTAGGTGTTCAGAATTCCTCCTGCCACCTCAGGTCTTCCCTAATTAGATGGTGAAAGATATACTGGGCAGATATCCAGGGCAATACCTCTAGCATATAAGTAGCATATAAGTTGGATGTGGATGTGAAGGGGAAATGCCCATTTGTGTGTGTGTTTAAGTGTGTGAGGCATTATTATGTGAAAGCTAACAGACATGTTTTCTACTATGGTCCTTAAAAGACATTTGGGTATTTCCACAATTGCCCAGATCTATAAAAGTTGAACACATTGAAACCAAATTCTACCATAACTTGTTAGACTTCCTATCACAAATGATCAAATTTTATTTAGTCATTAAAACTCAGTGACCAAGTATATTTAACTTTAAGAAAATGGACCCTTTGTTTAATATTCAGTCAGAATATCCATGACTACAATCACTTCAACTCATAAATAGAAGAGAAGTTAAGTCAATAGTCTTATTTGAATAATGAAGCAGATTAGTATGCCTTAGTGTCTTGGTAGAGATTTTACCTATATGATTTCAAGTTTAAATTGATAAATAAAGGTCCTAAGTAATCTCCAAAATGTGTTATGGTTTGGGGAGTGCTAGCTACTTTGCAAAAATGTGGGAGTGCTTATGATTCCTTCCCTGATGAAGATACTGCAAGGGAAAAGCAATTCCAGTATATGGTGTGGTTTAGTTTTATTCTTAAGAAAAATACATACCAAAAGTGTAGACACAATTATATATTTCTCTTTCATTCAGTTATTGAATATATCTCTAAAACAGATCATGGAAGAAAATTTGAATCCCATTGCCTCTTTGAAGTAAGTAAAATACAGACTACTATGAGGAAGCACTCAGAAGCATAATTATCCCAGTTTTGGTGCTAAAATGGGAACAAAAAGCTCATTTCTTGCTTTGTACATAACTACTACCACTTATTTCTCTCTGATTCAATTTATGTTTGGTGTGGGTATTCTATGCAAATAAAAACTCTAACCTTTGACCATTTTAAGCTAATTACTGTATTTCAATTTTTAAAAGGACAGTATTATTAATACTATTTATTAGTTAGTAACATTATTAATAATTCCATTATTAAAAGCTTTGAAAAACTCCAGCTTTCTTCTTTCCACTCTAAACGTAAAATATGTGAGCAGTTTCAATTTTAAAGTAAAACTGTTTAGACACTGAAATGTAGCAACAGAAAGTCAAGAGAAATGGCAAAGTTTGAAGAGAAGTGGAAGATAAAGGATTTTTTCTCACAATACAATTCTCTTCATTACTAATTCTAGTGCTTTGCTATAGTTTTATTAAGAAAGAGAACTATCTGCAGTATGTAGAAAGGTCAAGTTCAACTCCAAAGACAACAAAGACAAGTGTGGATTTACAGCCAAGGAGTAGAGCTGGAGTGGGGGGAGGGGGATCAGTGTATGGAAAATTACTAAAAGGAAACTCTAAATCTAGGAGGATTCTTGCTAGACTGCTCAGCAGAATTCTAGGATGATCAGATACCAACAGTGAGGCATTTTTATGAACTTGACTCTGAAGGATTCTTGCTAAAATTGGACTCACTTGGATGAAGGACAAAGACCAAGTTCAGGACCTCATCAGAAAGAGGGTTCAGGGGAGCCTGACTCAGATTTCATCAAAGAGAGAGTCTTTGTCATTTTCTTGAGTAAACTATTTAAACCTCATAAGAAATGTTCTCAAATATCAATGCGTGTCTATTTAGATACCGTATGGTCCAAAGTGCTCTCTCTGCTGTGCTTCCAGAGTGTGACAGGGGCTAAGGTGATATTAAATAGTACTGCTAAGTGATATAGTGGCTGTTTTAACTGGCAGAAGAAAGCAAGATGCTTTATTGTTTTCTCAACCAAAAATTAATCAGACAACACAAGTCCTGACAAATAATTTATGAATAAAGCATTCTGTGGCTAATTAGTTTGAGGAGCATTGGATATTATGTTGGCACCATTGAAAAGTTGGCTTCCCTGGGGGTTCAGATGGTAAAGAATGTGCTTTCAATGCAGGAGACCTGGGTCCAATCCCTGCGTGGGGAAGATCCCCTGGAGAAGGGAATGGCTACCCACTCCAGTATTCTTGCCTGGAGAAGTCCATGGACAGAGGAGCCTGGCTGGCTGCAGTCCATGGGGCTGCAAACAGTCAGACATGACTGAATGACTAACATATACTCACACTGAAAAGTTTTAATGAATATTTGCAAGCAAAAAATTCCGGGGATACTAAATTCAAGAAGCTTTTAAGTTTCCTTTAAATTCAAGTTTTCCAATTTACTTGACAGCAAAACTCCTTTTTAAAAACAGTGAGTACAAAGCTAGTGTTCTAAGGAAAATATTCAGATGATCTCTAAAGAGCTTTCTGAATATAAAATTTTAGCATTGCCTTAATTGGCAAGACATAAGGTGTTGCTACCATGGAATGAAGTATGTTGCCTCTTAAGTTTCCCATGGCAGAAAAATTGAAGCAACGGGGCTAATAATCATGTTCCAGGGGCATAGTTGAAAGGATTTCCAAACTGGTTGAAAACATTACAGTGAATACCTTTGTACTTGGAGGTTTTCATGTCCCTAGGATAAAATCTTAAATCAAAGGGTATGCACATTTAAAATTTTAATACATATAGCTAAAAACACTTTTCAAGAAGTTATTGCAAGGTTTACTCAAACCAACAAATATTTACAAGGAAAGTATTGTTTCTCCATATCCTCATAAGTACATCGAGTGTCCTTATACTTTTAGGATCCTTGATTTGCTAGTAGCCAAGCTGAACGTCATTCCACATATTTCTGTGACATATTTCTTCTTTGATGAGTGATTCTGTGCCTGTCTGCTCATATTATTTGCCTGAGGTTTAATAGTTTTTATGGAGTATTCCCCAGTTTCTTTTTGAAGAGCTCCTCCTGTGTTAAGTATATCAGTGTTTTGTGACAGCTTTTACATTATAACTTGCTTTTGATTTTAGTTCAGGCTGTTAGTTTTCTAGAGATAATTTACAAATTTATGTATGTTAAAATTATCTTTTTCTTTATGGGTTCTGGTTTGGCTATTTGCTTAACAATATTTTTCCAAATTTATAAAATAAATTCTATATATTTACATATTTTTATTTTTACTTATATTTAACCCATCTGGATATTGTTAGACAATAATATATCAATAAAAGTTATAACTAGATCTAAATCCAGAGTTCCCCTGAGCCAGCTGTCTCAAGGACTTCAAATGCAGACTTTGCTATATGCTTTTCAATCATATGGACTTGGATCAAATTTTGAACAATTATATTCTCTTTTGAATTTAATATTTATTCTTGCTCTATTGATTTACTCTTTGATTCAGTCCAGTTCATTTCAGTCGCTCAGTCATGTCCGACTCTTTGCGACCCTATGGACTGCAGCACACCAGGCTTCCCTTTCCATCACCAACTTCCAGTTTACTCAAACTCACGTCCATTGAGTCAATGATGCATCCAACCATCTCATCCTCTGTCGTCCCCTTCTCATCCCACCTTCAATCTTTACCAGCATCAGGGTCTTTTCAAGTGAGTCAGTTCTTCGCATCAAGTAGCCAAAGTATTGGAGTTTCAGCTTCAGCATCAGTCCTTCCAATGAATATTCAGGACTGATTTCCTTTAGGATGGACTGGTTAGATCTCCTTGCAGTCCAAGGGACTCTCAAGAGTCCTCTCCAACACCGCAGTTCAAAAGCATCAGTTCTTCGGTCTCAGCTTTTTTGATTATTCTTTGATTACTACAGCTTTAAGATATCTTTCGATATCTGGCAGAGTAAGTCCTCCCTCATGACCTTTTTCTTTTCCTAAATTTTCTTGGTTCTCACACATTCATACTTTGAAATTAACTTCATAATTATTTCCATCACTCCCTCTTCTTCCAGTTTCCCCATATTGTCCAGATTGGTACAATGATTTGCAATTGCACTGCATTTGGAGAATAATTCAGAGAGAATTGGCACCAATAGAATTGATACTAATGTTTTTGAGTCTTCTTATCACAGCTTTGTGTTCATTACAAAAAAATTTTTATATTCCTTAGAAAAAAAATTATGCTTTCCTTCACCTGTGTCCTTTGAGGTTTATTAATTTTTATGTTATTTCACATTTAATTTCTCCTAAAATTGGCAAATGAGAAGGTTGTTTACTATGGTAATAATGATTTCATACAGGGTCTTATTAGAAAAGGATAGTTATTTTAGAAAATATTATAATTTTCAGATAAATAAATTAGTCAGCTTTGATGCTACCTATGACAACTATTAATGTGTGGAATAGATTTGTGGTCTCACAATACTATAATTGCCATATTTATTAGTATCATCATAGTTACTGTTCCATTAGACACTAACCTGAAGTATAAAAAGAGAGAGTGGTATTTTAATATTTTCACCTGTAATGTATACATATATATTTATGCATTTCTACTTACTGTAATTTCTATTTTCTTTCTTTCTTGTGCTTGTGTATGTGTGTGTTTATGTGTGTTAGCTTTATTGCCCTTGTTAAATAGAGGATATGAAGTATTTGGAGCTATTCAATTTTGTGATATGAAGTTACTAAGTTAATAACAGTGTTAGGTTAGAGTAACAGATCCTAAAAGGTAATGGCTTAGCACAGTAGAAATTTATTTCTAACTCATACAACACAAGGTTAATTACAACAGCTATTTCTTTCTACATTTCAGATCAGTAAGGCAAGTGTTCCCTCTTGGAAAATGAGCCTGCTGAATGTCTGCAGTCTTATAAATAACCTGAACAGCCAGGCTGAGGAAACAGGAGAGTTTCATGAGGAGGAGCTTATTACAAGAAGGAAATTTCCTGCTGCCTTAGATGGCTTTAGCTTGGAAGCAATGTTGACGATATACCAGCTCCGAAAAATCTGTCACAGCAGGGCCTTTCAACATTGGGAGGTAAAACAAAGCAAAATATGAATATGATTATGGTTATACTAGTTAACTCTCATTTATACTGATTGTTTTAATCCTGATAATTATCATAACAGGAAGACTTACGAATATTAAGGAAGAATAAACCATGTGTTGAGGTTAACATTCCTTCAGATCTTCAAAGTGTTTTGCAAATATTTGAAGTTTAGCAAAATATCTTTTCTTTGGTCTCTAAAGGGGGATCTATCTTAAGGCAGATTTGATCCACATGCTTTTATTGTGGAAGGCGTGCTTAGGCAACTTTTGGTGCTGGTGGTGGTAGAGGCATACCGAAGAAATTTAGGAAACTCAAAATGTTTTCTTAGAAACACTAAGTCCTGTGTGTTTGTTTATAAATAAACACAGAACACAAAAGATTTCATTTGTATTTGAAAATATTAGGTAAATAAAACTGGAATGATAAGAAAATATATTTATATATTTCCATTTATACTTCTATTTCTATTTTAATTGAATGTGTGGATTATGGATTTCAATCCTCCTTAGAAGCTGAATTAGATTCACTATGGCTAATAAAGCCAAATTTCACTATACAGAACTACAACGAAGGAATGGATGTATATTATACACCACATGTATAAAATAGACATCTAGTGGAAACTGTTATATAACATGGGGAGCCCAGCCAGTGCTCTGTGATGGCCTAGAGGGGTGGGATGGGAGTGGGTGGGACGGAGGTTCTAAAGGAAGGGAATGTATGTATATACTTATGGCTGATTTGCATTGTTGTATGGCAGAAACCAATACAAAAGCATAAAGCAATTCTCCTCCAATTAAAAATTAAAAAATGAAATTAAAAATTTTAAAAATACTACACTGGTGACTCACCACCTTTGGTTTGAAAATATTTGAAGGAGAAAAGGCAGATGAAAATGCTTTAACAAAATTTATAATTTTCCCAACAATGGAAACATTTTTTTCAGATTAACCCCTAAGGGAAATTTACTTCATGTTTCATATTCAGGGTTTACACCAACATTGGGGATCTGAGGGTGCCTTTCCTGCTAATATAACCATCTCTATCATACTATCACAGAGATACCCTGTAGAAAAGAAGAAATGCAGTGCAGAACTTCTAGAATTTATTCTAACTTGTAAACCAAAAAAAATATTTTCCAGATTAAAATAAAATGAAAAAACTGGTTTTAATTTTTCTTGCTGGACTGTTTATCCTCTAACTCCAATTCCAGTTAAATGATTTTCTCTTTAAACTATTATGTCAATAAAACATGGAAAATAGGGAAATGTCAATTATGTGCTGTTTATTCAGAAAAAAAAAACCTTAATAAACTATAATACACAAAAATCAGGTGCACATAAGATTAAAACTTTTGCTATTTGAAATGTTATAGAGTGATTAAAATGAAATGATAATATTATTCAGAGTGTGGTACAAATAATTACAGACTATGTGCACAGAGAAACAAAAGATTAAGAAACTAGATTGTCTGACAGTAGCTGTTCTTCCTTCTCTGAAATTGAATAGCTGTGGGTTGAAATAAAGTATTTGTGATATGATTCACTGCATACAGGCTATGATTAAAAACTTAGTCTCCTATTAGTACTAGTTATAGTCACCCCAAAGTTTAGACAATCACAAATATGAATATAATTCTTATCTTGAGCATTAGCATTGATTTGTTTAAAAATTTTTTGTAAATCATGTGCAAAACTCTGGGAAGAGTTTCTAAATATTTTATGCTGGTTGAACATTTTGAATCAGAGCAGTACTATCTGAAAAAGTGTTTGGAACTAATTTTAGAATATAGCATGTTCAATGAGATATTAAGCAAGTTTTTGAATGTGAACTTGATTTTAATGATTTAATGATTTAATGATTGATTAATTAAAGCAGCACAAACAAAAGATGTTTAACACTTAAACAGAGCTTTCACATGTTAATTCTAAAACAGCTGAGCAAGTAAGCAGAACAAGCATTCCTCTCTCTATGACTGAGAAATGGATCTCTAGAATGGCTTTCAATTCAAATCATTAACATGGAATATAAATTTCTATTGACCTTTGAGGCCAAACTTGGTTTACTAAATTCAAATCTCTATATTTGTTGTGATTTATGATATATTTCCATCTTTTGATCTATCATACATTGAAGAAAAACGGAAAGTAACATTAAGTGCATTTTTTTTTTCATTTGGAGGTATTAATATGGCCTTGACAAATAAAAAAAAAAAAGTTTAAAGCTCGCTTGATGAACTAGGGAGAACACTGAACAGAGAATAAAAAAATCATGTTTTCATCCTCTCAGCCACCTGATATCTACCTGTCCTTAAGCAAAACACTTAATTGCTATGAACCACATCATCAACATATGTCTTACTGTCTGAATGCAAATGAGATAAAAGGTAGATGAAACACTTTGAAATGGAAGACTTTATGCATGTAAGTTTGATTCATATTCTGTCTATCTTGCAGTTGATTCAGGAAGACATTCTTGATGCTGGAAATGACAAAAATGAAAAGGAAGAAGTGATAAAGAGAAAAATTCCTTACATTCTGAAACGGCAGCTCTATGAGAATAAACCCAGAAGACCTTACATACTCAAAAGAGGTTCTTACTACTACTGAGAGGATAAATACTTTATTTACATGTGATTGTGATTTCTTTTAATGAAATATCAAATTATATTTGTGTGGAAATGTGACAGAGCACAATTGTTTTGTCTCTTCTACAGTTGTGGTTTATTAGATGTGATTTTTTTCTGCATTACTATAAATTGGACTAAATGTTTTAAAATAAATCTAGATCTTGAGCATGAAGTGTTGTGTATAATTGGAGTAGATATTAATTAAGTCACATAGGATGTTTTGTCATTTTGCAAAGGACTTAATGGGTTGTCAAAACAGTTAAAATTTTTGCCATTATAAACCAAATTAAAAGCAATTAGAACAGTTGTACTGCAAAGTCTAGCCTACCTGTCATTAACCCAGAACAAAGTAATACCTGTTTTATTATTTGGATGTTTTATTGAACTGAAACACATGCTCTTTTCCAAGACTCACTCATTAATTTCAGCTATGGGGAAGGTAATAGAAGTAAAATAGGACCATCTTCAAAGAATGATTAATGAATTATTGTTAATTATGCTTATCTTAATGAATGATCTTAGACTGAATTTGGTTTTCTGTTAAATGAACTTAACAGCTAATAAAAAGACAACAGCCATCAGAACTATGCTTCTTTGCAAATTTACTTCCATTAGAATAGTTACCCTTATCCACTTTTTCCCCTCACATTCAGTTAATGATAGCTTTATTTTTAACCTCACTGTGGAATTTGTGTGACTAATATGTTTCCCACTTAGGAGAACATTTTTGAGGCCAAAGGAATACTTTAAATAACTCCTCATAAATTTCCTTTAAGACTGTAGTTATGGTCTTGTAAACCCTCATAGTCCTCTCAACCCACCTTTAACAGTGGTCTCCTAGGCTCCTGCTTTGACAGGTGGCCTATGAGGACCTCTATTTACAGCTCTGCAACCAAGTCCCATAGTCATCTATGAAGGAAGATAACCAGGTTTTGAGTTATTCTGGAATTAAGGAGTTTTGAGAACTCTATGTCCTTTAGTTGAGAGCACTCCCTGCTGTAGGCTAAACTCCACTTAGTAGGGTTTAAGTGTAGTCCACCAATCTCTGAGTTTTTTCCTAGGAAAATCATGATTTCTCATAACCACCTCCCTACCATCTTTTACAATCCTATCAGCTTCAACATTAAAAAGTGCCCAAGGAGCTGATCCTAAAAAGGAAACTATTCCATAGTGATTAAGAGTGTCCACTCTGAAGTTGGAATGCCCAGATTCAGCCCCACTGTTCACTAGTAATCTTGGACACCTCTCTGTCCCCTCAGGTACAAAATGTCAGATCTGGGCGAGGGCGAAGTGGTCTGATATGGCATAAAATGCTTAGGACAGTGCCTGGAATATATTAACCACACTACATTTAACAGTTCTTCTAGCCACTTTCATACGGGTTTTCCTTTCTCCTTCAAAAAACCACAGAGCATAACACAATTTCATGGTTTAACCCTTGGCATTTTCAACAACGGCTGCTCTCCTATTACTTGCTTCATTCATTATCCAAGAGGAGTTTCACCTACATGGGCAAAATCCCTCCACAATCGCCCCCTCAGTCCCTGACATCTTCACTTCCAATAATAAACGTTTTAACCATTTTATCTCATCCCATCATTTCCACAGTCATGCTATAGAACTTATACTCTCAATAAATTCAACTTCTCCAAAAATCTCAATTTCAAACACTCTGCTCCCTCTATCCATGTCATCTTCTCTTTTCAGTTCATATAATCTATGATTCTCACTCTACCATTTATGATCTCACTTAATCTATTGCCCACCTCTGTTCACTTTTTAACTAGGAATCACACTCTCACTTTACACTTTACTTAGCTTAGATTCTATCATCCAAAACAAAAATCACTATCTTACTACACTCAACATCCTGTCCTTCTACCTTATATGAGCCTATGGAAACACCATTAGTTAAACTGAAATCTCCCATTGATTCTGACCTTCCCTGAGAAGCTGAACATAGCTGGAGAAAAAAACCCCAACTTGTTGAAGAGACATACTTAAAATTTGTGATCCCAAATCTCAAGTGGGTCCTTAGTACTGCCCAATATCCCTACTTCATTTGCTCGATAAATTTTGCCTCTAATTTTCTCTACTGGTTGTTTTATATCTTATCTTTTTCCTTGAATTGCAACTCTCTTCCTTCTCCTCACATGTGTCAGATGCCTTTCCAATGATCTCACCTAAAATTCAAAGCAATAAGGAGAAAATTATATCATTTCCCTACAACTGAATGTAACAATCCCCTAGCATTTACTCTTTGTTCCATTTCAATGGAGGAACTGTCTCTTCTCTTCTGAGGTTCACTGCTTCACTTCTGCTTGTCAGTAAATGGTCCTACCACCTGCTGAGGTAAAAAAAAAAAAAATCTAGTCATAATTCTTAACTCTTCTCTGTAACACGCCACCACCCAAGTGGCTCAGAGGTAAAGAATCTGCCTGTCAAGCAGGAGACATAGGTTCAATCCCTGGGTCGGGAAGATCCCCTGGAGAAGGAAATGGCAACCCACTCCAGGATTCTTTCCTGGACAAACCCATGTTCAGAGGAGCCTAGTGGGCTATAGTCCATGGGGTCTCAGAGTCAGACGTGACTTTGTGATTGAGCACGCACTCACACTCTAATACAAACCTGGGATTTCATCTATTAAGAACTTTTGCTGGCTTTGCATTCCAAAGACATCTCAAATCTGTCTGCTTCTTGCCACATCATTCATCATTATTGCTTTAATTTGCAGAATTCCCCCTCGCAGGACTGTGACAATTTCTTCCTAGCCACTTTCTCATTGTCTTTCTATTTATCTACATCCATATAGCTGAACAAGGTTTTAAAAAATATTAATTAGATTATATGCCATATGTCTCTTCTCAATCCCCCACAATGTCTTTCCATTTCACTTTTTTTTTTAAAAAATGTGGACCATTTTCTTCAGCCTTTATTGAATTTGTTACAATAATGCTTCTGTTTTATGCTTTCTTAGCTCCCTGACCAGGGACCGAACCTGCACCCGCTGCACTGGAAGGTGAAGTCTTAACCTCTGGACCGCCAGGGAGCTCCCTCCATTTCACTTTGAATAAAATCATAGTTTGTCGTGAAAGGCCTGAACTGCTCTGGTATTTGTCTACTCTACTGAATTCTGCTCATCCTCCTCCGGTCTCAGGGCTTCCTGGGTGGCTCAGACAGTAAAGCATCTGCCTGCAATATGGGAGACCTGGGTTTGATCCCTGGGTTGGGAAGATCCCCTGGAGAAGGAAATGGCAACCCACTCCAGCACCCTTGCCTGGAAAATCCCATGGCGGAGGAGCCTGATAGGCTACAGCCCAACGGGTCGCAAAGAGTCAGACATGACTGAGTGGCTTCACTTCCTCTGGTCACACTGGCCTTCTTGTCATTTCTTTAACATATCCAGTTTGTTCTGCTCCAGAGCCTTTACAGATGCTGAAACTTCTTTCCTGGAAAGCCCTTCTGGTTAAAAATCTTTTTTCCTGGACACAGGACACCCACTAAAAGACAAGCCTCCCTTTTCATAGGAATGCCTAAGTTGGAGTCAACAGATAATGGGTAGAAAAAATGTAAAAATATAACTTGTGGGTCTATTATAACTTAAAGAGAAACTTCATTCCCTGAACTTTGACTTTTTCCTTATTTTGGTTTTGTTTTTTTTTTTTTTGGTCTTAAATGTGAATTTATTTTAACCACACAAATGAATACCATTCTCTTGAAGATGACATTGATCGATAGAGCTTAAATCCTTTAACAATGCTGTGGACCAAATCTGCCTCACCACCCTGGATCAACTAGACTGTTACTTGAAAGAGAAATGTATTGCTAACTTATTTCAGGCACTGCATTTTTCAGCCTCCTTGCTATGCCTCAACCATTATTTTAATTGCTACAGTCTTCTGCAGACCTTCTCATAGTTTATTTTTCACATCATTTAGATCTCTGCACACATGATATGCATACAGTGAGGACTTTTCTTAAATAACCTTTATCCCTGAGTCAACATCCATCTAACTTTCTTTACTGGTCCACGGCCATACTTCCCTGAATGCGTTCCATCTCATTTCATCTAACTTACTTTATTTTCCCTCATATGTGAAAAATAAAAGAAAAGCAGCGACTGACAGCAATCAACTGGGAGTTGCCCTGGCACCAGCAGTGAGGCTATGGTGCCCTCCTGTTAAATGATTTCATAGTATAAGACTTCAGACAGGGTCATTCTAACCCTGATGGCAAAAGACAATAAACAAGACCACTCTGTAATTGTGTCGGAGCAAAATCAAAAACAAGAACACCACAAACCACAGAAATGATCAAACATCTTCCTTTCCACATAATTTGATTGAGGCCCCTCTAACTAAGCTCTATTTTTCTACCTCTAGCGTAAAACCACCATCATATCTAGTCAAAAAATTACCCTCATTTTCTGAAAACACCCAAAGCAGAGTAAAACCACACTTTCAGAATACTCCTCAAATCACAAGTCTAAATCCTGTCTAAAAAGAAAGTGTTAGAACCTCAGTTGTGCCCGACTTTTTGCGACCCCATGGACTGTAGCCCGCCAGGCTCCTCTGTCCATGGAATTCTCCAGGCAATAATGCTGGAATGGGTTGCCATTCTCTTCTCCAGAGGATCTTCCCAACCCAGGGACTGAACCTGGGTCTCCTGCACTGCAGGCAGATTCTTTACCGTCTTAGCCACTGGGGCCCATACATATACTCTCTTATTGGGATTTATGATTTTCTATTGAACGAGGTTTCCAGCACTGGCAAACTCAATTTTGTGGGAGTGTGCTTTCTGTGGTCTTTGGCTGGTAGGCATCAGCAAAGCACATGCTGTAACTTGAAGTTCTATAGCCATTTATTTGTTTACTGGTATATAATTTCTCAACCCCACCCAAATGTATAATCCTTGTGAGGACAGAGATTTTGCCTTTCTTATTCACAGTTGAATTCCCAAGGTTGAGCACCAGGCCTGCTAAGCATTATTAAAGATTTGTTAACAAATGAATAAATTAGCAGCAAGAGGGCTTTTCTCTGATAATAATGTGACCTAACTCAGGTCAGCTGCTCACTGGGCAAAAGCGAATAAAGAGGCCAAGCTGGTGGAAAGGGAAGTTTGCTTTATTTTGGATGCCAGCAACTAGGAGAGAGAAGGAGGTGGACCTCGGTCCAAAGGCCCACTCCCCTCAACTGACAGTCAGTGGGCAAGAGCTTTTATAGTCTGCGGGAGTGGGGTACATGCAGAGACAGCATAGTCAGCTCTGACAGTTATCTTGAAATTGGTCATAGGTGGTCTGATCAGCATCATTTTATTTTAGGTGCACTTTATCTTCAGTTCCAGGGTCAGTGTGTTTCCATTTCTTTGAGGCCAGTTCTCAGAACTGTGGCAGCTTTTGTCGTGGCCACAGTCTGCTCATCGTGTAGTTAACTCCTCCACCTAGGGGGTTTCAGTATCTATAAGATAGAAGATAGCTCCCCAGTTACGGCTCAGAAGATTATCTATAGCACCTAGGAAGGAATAAAAGGTCCTTGATGATTCTTAACGACTACACTAATATTATTTGATCTTTTTTGACCGTTTTCCCTTGTTTCTGTATGTTCTCATTTCTTTGATTAAACTCATTCTTTGGGTAAAGTTTTCCACACACAAAAGGCAGGCTGAAGACATAGGGGGCAAGGACCACCGGGTCCTGCTCCATTTCAGTAAGAGGTTTTCCACATAGCTTCTACATATTTTTAAGCCCCAACTTAGTGATTCCACTTCAGAAGGATTGGTTATGAGCTCAGGTATCTACACAATGTTTCTGATTTCATGTGAAACCACACAGAATCTAGGTAAAAGCTTACCTTCATCAGTTGCAGCCTGGGAGATTATGCCTCATTTTTTGTCTCTTAGATTCTGTTCTGAGAAGAAAACAAACAAAAACGCCAAGTGAAATTGACAATATTGTTGGTTTTTGAACAACATGGGGGTTAGGGGCACTGACTCTCTGTGCAGTCAGAGACTCATATACAACTTTACAATCAGCTCCTTACTTATGGCTTTGCGTCTTCAGGTTCAACCAACAGGGATTGTGTAGTACTGTAGTATATATTAATTTTAAAAAATCCATATGTAAGTGGGTCTGTGTGGTTCAATCTCATGTCATTCGGGGTCAACTGTAGTTAAAATGGGAAAGAATGGATTTGTGAAATACAAAGAGAAAGAACTACTTGAATGTGGAGGAAATAATACAGGAATATTCTCGATTATTTTGAGAGGTAAAGTCAGGAGCCTCGCTCTGTATTTGCACTTTTTGAGATTTCCCAATCACTGTTGGGTTAATTTGAGCTATGTGAGACTTCAGTTTAAATCCATCCCCTGCCTGAGGTCCACCGCGATGACAGCATTGAAGGCTCCTGAACTCCTTCACGGGAAGGCATGCCAAATTTACAAGCATCCATGGAACCATTCCCTCTGAAAGAAACCAAGAAACTAGCTGAGCAACTCCTACACATTGGGCAAATGAGAATATACCACATTGAAACAGGTAAGAAAAGCTGAGACATGCCTTGGCAATACAACCCAATCTTGGCACCATGGCATACAATTGGGAGGGAATACCCAACTCCTGGTGTCACCTTCAGAAGCAAAGGATTCAGACTGCACATCTGGTGCCCCTACTTTTAACACTTCCACTTGAGGCACAGCCCCCCCCCCCCCCCCAACACTCAGTCCTGAAAGCCAACATGGTTTATGTCCATGAGACCTATAAGACTATGGTAAACAAAGGAGCGCTTCTTAACAGGCATGCTCACACTTGTGCACTGTTGGGTATTGGTTTGATATGATTCAAAATCCACTTGCTTTTTGTTCTAATGAAGTTGTTTATGTTGAGAAAACTTGGTCAGGATATCATCATTAGCATGATGTCAATAGCATCAGCTATTGACAGGCACAGCTGGGAGCTTATTGATAAATAAGCACTTTGGGGACTTCCCTAGTGGCCCAGTGGTTAAGAATCCATGTTGCAATGCAGGAGACACAGGTTTGATCCCTGGTCCAGGAAAATCCCACAGGCCACAGAGCAACAAAGTTCATACACCACAGCTACTGCGCCAGTATTCTAGAGCCAGTGAACCTCAACTACTGAGCCCATGTGCTGCAACTCCTGAAGCCTACCACCTAGAACCCATGCTCCACAATAAGAGAAGCCTGTGCACCATAATCAAGAGTAGCCCCGCTCTCTACACCAGCCTTTCAAGATGCCGAAGGGAAAGAAGGCCAAGGGGAAGAAGGTGGCCCCAGCCCCGGCCGTGGTGAAGAAGTAGGAGGCCAAGAAGATGGTCAACCCCCTGTTCGAGAAGAGGCCCAAGAATTTTGGCATTGGAGAGGACATCCAACCCAAGAGGGACCTCACTCGCTTTGTCAAATGGCCCCGCTACATCCGGCTGCAGCGGCAAAGGGCTATTCTCTATAAGCGGCTGAAAGTGCCTCCTGCAATTAATCAGTTCACCCAGGCCTTGGACCTACAAACAGCTACTCAACTGCTTAAGCTGGCCCACAAGTACAGACCAGAGACAAAGCAGGAGAAGAAGCAGAGGCTGCTGGCCCGCGCTGAGAAGAAAGCCGCCGGCAAAGGTGACGTCCCCACCAAGAGGCCACCTGTCCTTAGAGCAGGGGTCAACACTGTCACCACCCTGGTGGAGAACAAGAGGCTCAGCTGGTGGTGATTGCTCACGATGTGGATCCTATCGAGCTCATGGTCTTCCTGCCTGCCCTGTGCCGCAAGATGGGGGTTCCCTACTGCATCATCAAGGGTAAGGCCTGGCTGGGGCGCCTGGTCCACAGGAAGACATGCACCACCGTAGCCTTCACACAATTCAACTTGGAGGACAAGAGTGCCCTGGCTAAGCTGGTGGAAGCCATCAGAACCAATTACAACGACAGATACGATGAGATCCATCGTCACTGGGGAGGCAATGTCCTGGGGCCGAAGTCAGTGGCTCGAATCGCCAAGCTGGAAAAGGCTAAGGCCAAAGAACTGGCCACCAAGCTGGGCTGAGTGTACACTATTGAGTTTTCTGTACATAAAAGTAATAAAAAGGCTGCTTCAAAAAAAAAAGAGTAGCCCCCACTCACTGCAACTAGAGAAAGCCTGCAAGCAGCATCAAAGACCCACCACAGCCAAAAAATTAAGTAAATAAATCAATTAAGTAAATAAATCTTTTTTTTTAAATAAAAGAACTTTTGTGAAAGAGTGACTCTGGCTAGAGGATTTTAAGCTTTAAATATTAAGAGGTTTGACCAGCAACTGAAAAGTGTTTAGCCTGGGGAAGGCAACTTTTCCTTGCTAATTGAAATAGCTTTCCAAAGACCTTGGGGCACTAGCTCCTGGCTGGGCAAGGTGATTCTTTGCTAGCAGTGGTGAAAACCATGCAGAGGCCCCAAGAAGAAAATCATCTTTCCCATCAAAGCTGGCATCTTTGTACCCTAGCAACAACCCTAGCAACAATGGACTTTTGCTTTTGCACTAGCAGTTGGACATCAGCTCACAGTTAGCTAAGCCAGCTCTCCCAAGAACAATGCCTAGAAAGGTACTCCCTCACTAAATTTGGGCTTTATTCCTTTTATCTCCCCTTGCCTGAAACAGTATTGTGATTAGTCTGTTGATGGTTTGGAGTAGATTCTTTCTTTATTGGCTTATTAAGAGACATTATCCCATATACTACTGGCTTGTGAAATTATTACAATTCCTGCAGTGAACCTGTGCTAGACAAATTATTGACAAAGCAGTCTCTATGTCTGAACATAATTTGCTGCCAGATGAAGCATGTATTAATACTACCATCTCCCAGGACTCAGCAGAGGGAGAGCAGGCAAAACCTCTCATCTCTCAGCCGCTTCCTACAAGGGGTCTACCTTCATATCCTACAAGCTCTGCCTGAGGATCTGACTTCTAATTTTAGCACACATCTAGGGGCTGTGATCCGCCCTGGAGAACAAGAAAATGTGGACATTTTCCTCACCTTCTCCTTCTGGCTTTCTATTATGATAAAACGAAGCTGCCAATATCTCCCTGGAAGGAGCTTACTAACACATCTGGTGCCCCAGACTTTGTGGCTGCTGCCTGAAGGATGGATTCCCCAAACCACACCCATGCCTATCTCTATTTTGAAAGTCAGAGATAATCTTTGACAAAATTGATAAGCGTTCTTTTTCCTATTTACCTTATGCCACCCAACTTGGTGGCACCCAAAGAGTTGGCAGCTGTCAGAAACATTTTCACATTTTCAACATGTATGATATTTATCTTTTCACTTTGATAAAACAAGAATGTTTCTAAAGCATAAAACTCTTTGCATATATCTAACCACTCGCTAAATAATTCCAACTGAAGCTTAGCATACCCAAAGGCTAAAAATTCTAAGGAACTGATATAAGAATATAATTCAGTATGGAGACTGAATTAATGACCTAATACTTAGTAGGTCGGGGGCTTCCCAGGTGGCACAGTGGTAAAGAATCCGCCTGTCACTGCAGGAGATGCAAGAGATGCCGATTCAGTCCCTGGGTCAGGAAGATCACTTGGAGTAGGAAATGACAACCCGCACTAGTATTCTTGCCTGGATAATCCCATGTACAGAGGAGCCTGGTGGGTTACAGACCATGGGGTCACAAAGTCGGACATGACTGAAGCCACTGAGCATGCATGCATTTTATTGATGGAGACTTATTTTCCACCTGACAATCTGTTTGATTAATTAGACATTTTTTCTGTATCAAGTTCCAGGTTAAAAGGACTTCCATGGTGGTCCAGTGATTAAGAATCCACCTTGCAATGCAGGGAACACAGGTTTGATCCCTGGTTGGGGAACTAAGGTCTCACATACTGGGAACTAGTGAGCTCACGCGCTCTGGAGCTTGCATGCCACAACTCGAGAGTCTGTGCATCACAAGGAAAGATCCCACATGCTGCAACTAAGACTGAATGCAGCCAGAAAAAGTTACAGGTTAAATTAAAAACTTACTATTACCTCAGGTAAGGAGACATGATAAACTAAAATTGTCTTAAAATTCCCTAGTCTGTCTTATAGGGTTATAAAAATATATATACTAGAAACTCTAAAATCACTAAATAAAGTTTTATTATGCTACCCTCCATTATTATTCATACATGTAAGTAAGTTGTGGAGGGAATGGAGGAACCCATTTTAACTTATCTGCCCTGCCTTTTTACTCTGCCAAACTCCACCTTACACTAAGATGGGAAATCTGATGAGGTGCCACATCTGGGGCAGTTTTCTTTCTGGTAACTGATTCAGTTTTCATCTGAATGATTATTGATGGCATAGAAGTACTCTTGAAGTCAAAAGAACTTGATGTAATGAATCCTTCATCTCACAGGATCAGAATATTGCAACATTTTAAAGTTATCCCACTGATAAAATTTAAAACTATACTGAAAATGAGTCTGAACTTCCCTTCTGCTCTGAATTCACTTAAGTGTAAACATACATCTAAATAAGCCATACCACATCCAACACTGCGTACACTAACACTTAGTATATGACCAATCCCTCTGGCTTCATCTCCCCTCACAGTCACGCCTTGTGTGTTTACTTCAAACCACTTTGTGATTTGTGATTTTTCTTTTGTGCTCTTTGCTCCACACTTTCTCTTGCTATTTATTTTACTTAACATTTACCTCTTGGCTTGTCCAACTGATCATGTCCCATTCTTCTTGAGACTGAGATGAAATCCCACTTCTTGGAAACATTTTTAACCTACCAACTCACCACTCAAAGCTCAGTTAGGTCTCCTCTGTATTTGTCCCAATAATAAGTGATTACTGCTATAATCCCTTGTGTATGATCCTGTTAGCACATTTCCTGCATGGTATAATAATAAATTGCATGCTTCTCTGAAAATAGGTCAAACTTCCTTAATTTAGCTATTATGCTTTGTTCATTTCTATATCCTGATGCAGATCCTGGTACATTCAAGATCTTTGTTGATGAATAAACCACTGTTTAGCTGAGATAGGCAGTGATTGTAATCTCTTACTCTCATCTCACTCCTTTGAGGATAACCCTCTAGAAAGATGCCCCCTAGAAAGAACCAAATCTATCCGCTTATAGATTCAAATATAACATTCTCTATGGATATAGAGATTCTATTTGTATCAGTTATAATGTTCTTATTTCACAAGGACCATGGAGCTCTCCCCAGATTTGGAGTGTCATTAGCCTCTTAATATGGCTTCAGGGATTGACTTACTCAGCTCAGTGTATGATAAGTGGCATACAAAATGAAGTCCTTGAGAGAGAGCAATCCTACCTGTCTGATATTCATCCAGGAAGCACCTCTGACCCATCCAGGAATCACTGGATATCCTCTTATAGAGTCCAGCTACCCTGGACAACAAATTGGCTCCTTCCACCAGGCATTGCTATCCTGATCAAGACCAACACAAACCAGTTTTTCCTCTAATTAAGAACAGCAGCCTAAATATAGTTAGGCTTTCTGTGATGGGAAATCTTTCAGTGCTTTGAAGATTTTTGCAAAGCTTCATTAGATTGCCTCTGATTTTACCTTGTTCCAGTTTAAATTACTTCAGACATTTATAGGACATTCAGTATATGGACTTTCACTTTAGGAGAATTCAGATGAATACTGAAATACTAGCAGCTGGAAATATGCGTAAATGAATCTAAGTAAGAGTTTTTGAGTGTTCTCAGCAAGGTCTTGGGGAAGAAGAAAGTGAGGGAATTTAAGCCACTTCTTGTGAATACTGGTAACTTTCTAGAGGAGGTGTGAAGTAACACAGTATGTGACTGCATTTACTATGACACAGCCTCATGAAGACAACACATCTGGCGTTTACAAGAGAAGACTTTATGTTTCTTGATTTAAATTCAATAAGTGTTAAGATAACCTCTGGGTCATGCTTGTAAAGCTTAATTTCTGTTCATTTAAGAATTTCCCACTTCTTTAGTAGATAGAAGCCTGCTGTTTAACTGCCTTGAAGGAAGCAATCTGACTCACTGTTTCTAACCAATTTTTAATCAAGAGAAAGCTGCCTACAGACAGAGCAGTTCAGAGATGTTCCATATTTATTTCTTCCTGAAATGTCTTCCTGGTATCTAAAATGTGCCAAAATGAAACAGACATAGGACTGCCAAAATATTTTCATGAAATACCTGGGAAACAGTCACAAAGATGCTAGAGTGAGTTCCAAGTCCATATCAGCTGTCTGAGACCATCACTCTTTCAGATTTAAAGGTTTTAGATTTTTTCAAAATTTTCCTCAAATTTCTGATTCTTACTTTATCAGAGTTCAGTTGCTAATTTGGTTACTCTTTTCATTAACAAGTATTTCCTCAGTACATACTCCCTGAGGCACTGTGCAAAGCATTGGGACACCAAGTTAAAATCATGCTTCCTATTGTGTACAAATACATGCATGTGTGTGTGTTCAGCAGTGTCTGACTCTTTGCCACCCCATGGACTGTAGCTCACCAGGCTCCTCTGTCCACAGAATATTCCAGGCAAGAATACTGGAGTGGGCTGTCATTTCCTCATCCAGGGAATCTCCCCTCCAGATCCAGGGACCAGATCCGCATCTCCTGTATTGGCAGGCAGAGTCTTTACCACTTCACCACCGAGGTACAAATAATATCTTCCCAAATCACATACTATGTCCATGTGACTGAGTTGGCCATTGGGATACAAGAGGAAGGCTTAACATGACAACTTCCTAGAATCTCCTTGAACATACAGCTGACATACAGTCTTTGTACCTTGTGTTTGACTTTTCTCCATCCTGCCTCCTGGAATGTAAATACCATCTTGGACTTTAATATCTAGGGCAATACACAAAGTGTGGCATGGTGACCTAGAAGGAGCCTAAGTCCCTGAGAAACAGAGCCAGCTTCAGTTCAGTCACTCAGTCGTGTCCGACTCTTTGTGACCCCATAAACTGCAGCACGCCAGGCTTCCCTGTCCATCACCAACTCCCGGAGTCTACCCAAACCCATGTCCATCGAGTTGGTGATGCCATCC